CCCTCAAAAGTACGAACTTCCTCTTCTCCGTACACCATTGATCGATCTTTCGACATCGACTTCTAATAGACTACCACGATGCCCGCTCCTTCAACCACCCTTCTCATCGAGGGCTCGTTCACCGAACTCGCCGATGAGTTCGCCCAGTACATCGATGCTCTTCGCAAGCCCGACGCCGCCGCGTCCAGTCTCCAGGCCGACATCGCCCCACTGTTGGAACCTCTGCGCCAGCAGGAACAGTCTGGTACCGAACCTGATCGCAAGCAGCGCGATGAGGTTCTGAAGAAGCTGGTTTCCGCCGCTACCGTCCTGAATGCGGCCCCCGAGAAGGGTAAGCAGTTCTTTGGTTGTTGCTGCGGGGCCAAGAATGACCCAAAAGACTCATGACACATGGACGCAATTGACGCAATTGACGCAAACCAGAGATTATCTCCGCCTACAACCTCCTCGTCCACCTCGTCCACCAGGCCTCCGATCCGGACATGTTCCTCTCCCGCATTTGCTCCTACCTCGCTAAACCCATCACCGCCTCTCCCCAGTTCGGCCCTTCCCTAGCCATCTCCGTCTTGTCCACCATCTTCAATACCCTCGCTCCCGCCGACTCTAGCCGCTACCATGTTCTTTTGGCCATCGTTGCTGTCATCCGCCAGGCCGGTGCCTCGGTCGCATTCGACGCCCTCAAGCCCCAGCTGACCTCTCAGCTGCCTGCTTGGCTTGCCGCTTGGGAGCTCGAGGCTGAGGAGGCCCAGCGCCTGCACCTGGCCATCGCCGATGCCGCCCAAGCTGCCGGAGACGCCGAGCTTTCCCAGTCCCATGTCGTCCAGGCCTTGCAGACTATTCCCGCGGCCCAGGCCTCCAGTTCCGAAGCCCGCGATCTGGCCGTTCGTGCCCTGACTTCGGCGCTCACCTCTCCCGCCGTCTTCGACTTCACTCCGTTGACCGCTTCCGACGCCGTTCAAGCCCTGCGCACCAGCGACAGCACCCTCTTCGAGCTGCTCGAAATCTTCACCGCCGACACCCTTGACGCTTACGAGGCCCTAATTGCCGCCAGCCCTCTGGCTGGTATCTCAGGTGGTGTGCTGGCTGAGGCTGGCGATGCTCTGCAGACTAAGATGCGCCTGCTCACCCTGGCCTCGCTGGCCGCTACCACCCCCTCCCGCTCTCTGCCCTACGCCACAATCGCCAGTGCTCTGCGGGTGTCGGACGAGGATGTCGAGAAGTGGGTCATTGACACCATCCGTGCTGGTCTCGTCGAGGGTAAGCTTTCGCAGCTGCGCTCTGAGTTCCTCGTCCACCGCGCCACCTACCGCGTCTTCGGCGAAAAGCAGTGGGCTGAGGTGCAGGGTCGCCTGATGGTCTGGCGCCGTAGCCTGGAACGCGTTTTGGGTGTTGTTCGTTCCGAGCGTGAGCGCTTCGTGCGCGAGGGGCTGCAGGCGGCCCAGGCGGCTGAAGAGGCTGCTCAGGGAAAGTCCGCCGACAAGGGCAAGTCGGGTGACCGCCGTCGCCAGCAGGGCGGCAACAGCAACAACAACAACAACAACAACAACAACAACAACAACAACAACAACAACAACAACCAGACCCAGTCTTCGACCCCGGCCGCTCCTGTCGCCAGTGCCCCCGTGGAAGCTGTGGCTGAGTAAATGATGAAAGGACGGAAATGCGGGGAAGGATCAATGACTGATGATGAGACCTACATACCTTGTTTTTGTCTTTCGACCTGCTATCTACCAGATACCACACCCTTCAAACCGCGCAGACGGAGCTAGGGACGAGCTAGAAAAAAAGACTTAAAAGTATCTCTGTGTCATGGCTGGGCAGCGGTGTTAAACGCTAATTTTTCGTGTCTTTGGATTGGGTGTTTGTAATTGATTTCTTGTGTTCAAGGCTGGAATGTTCTCTTTCACTGTCGGATCGAGATGGACGATTTGATCGCTTGCGGTGTCGCTTGCGGTGTCAGGAGGTGGTCTGCTGTACCTAGAACATGGAGGATAATCGACTGTGTGAGATGACCTTTATAGTCGTATGTCCGCCCCAGTGGCGGAGTGACCTCCCTCTCCTGGGCCTTATGCGTCCTCGGCGGAGATCAGGGGCAGAAAACTCCAAAGATGTAGAATCAGGCAGGTCAACCCCGCAACGAGTCTATAACAAGATTGAATCTTCAACACTATATGCAGTGTATATAGATGTGAATATATATGTACTTCGAAACGCTAACACTATGAACCGACCACACACGTATCATCACCCGACCGCCTGTTCCACAAGCCCTGGAATCTCTGCGACACATCGCCCATTTTCCTGGCGGGACTCACAGGGGGTTCAAGCCCTTCTCGCGGAGCCCCACCCGAATCCTCTCATAGACGTCCTTGACATCGCCGGTAGCTTTCACGGAGACCACCTTACCCTGGGCCTCGAAGGCCTCGACGACGGGCATACTCGTTTCGACAAAGGTACGGAAGCGCTTGCGGATGCTCTCGGCGTTGTCATCGTCACGACCGCTGGTCTCGCCACGCTTGAGGAGGCGGGCCTCCATCACCTCCTCGGGACAGTCCAGGAAGAGGGTCATCTCGGAGGGGCAGACCGTGTCCTCGAAGAAGACGGCCTGGTCGAGCTTGCGGGGGAAACCGTCCACCAGGAAGCGGGGCTTGCTGCCTGCGTTGGCGGCCGGATTCGTGCCGGCGGCCAGGGTCTCGGCCATGGCGTCGGACAGCAGCTTGACGGTGATCTCCATGGGCACAATCTTGCCCTCGCGGATGTAGGTGCGGATGAGCTCGCCGGCCTGGCTCCCTTCGCGGACTTGCTCGGCGCGGAGCAGGTCTCCGGCCGACAGGTGTGTAAAGCCGTAGTCGCGGACGAGGTTGGCAGACTGCGTGCCTTTGCCGCTGCCGGGCCCGCCGAGGACGAAGACGACGGTTGTCGTGGTGGGGGAGAAGCGCGGGGTGGACATTTTTGTAGGATGTATTGGTTATTTTCCTTGTTTTATTTTTGAGTTTCCGTTGGGAGGCGAATGAGATTGATCGGTTTCTCCAAAAGAGAAATAAAATACAGAGACTTGTAAGAAGAGAGCGGCGGGGGAGATGAGGGAGGCGGGAGGCGCGGAGGGGGTTCGAGTCCTGTGAATCAGGTCGAAGACAAACATGTTAGTTTGTTCTTTTCGGTGGGGGAGTGAGTGAAGCGGGAAAGAGGGGTACAGATAGAAAGTACTGTACAATGACAATCGATTTACTTACTCACTTAAACAGCCTCGGATGGCTTGGGTTTATGGACTCCGGTACGGGACTTTGAGAGGAGAATGAAGGAACCAGATCCGATACCAATAATGATCAGGAACGGAAGGACTTTGAATTGAGAACGGCTATATTGAGTGGATTGAGGGGAAGGATGGGTGGAAGAAGTGGAAGAGGGAGAAGGAGAGGGGGAGGAGGAGGAGGAAGAGGAAGAAGAGGAGGAAGAGGAGGAAGAGGAGGGGGCGGAATAGGGGCGGCGGTGTTGCAACTGGAGCTGTTGCTGGAGAAGCACCCGAGAGGAGGCACGCAATGGGCGAGGAACAGTCCGGATTAGGGTCGACATGAGATTGAAATTGAGATTGAGATTGAGATGAGGAGGATGAGGATAATGAGAAGCGCAAAGAGAGAACGAAAGAGGAAGAGGAATGGATCTGATTGTCGAGGAACTACGAGGTTAGGTTGCAAATGATTCAATCGTACTCAGTAGGCAAAAAGTTGCATTCCCCGTTTTAAGTTGGCTGACGGGGGGGCCGTTTGCGGACTAGCGCCACGTGGGAAAGTACAGGACGGACTATACACATTCAGGTATAATGAAAGATATATTGATGTTTAAATTCAAATATGTATTTATATATGCACATATCTTGATATGTACGTATGTACTAAATGTACTAATAGGTAAGTTATATATGTCTCTCTAAAATAATGCTGCCCGCTCAAAATCAATGCTTTCGCTAGTCATCCGCCACCACTGGAACCTCGTAGTATGCCTGCATACGACGCTGCTTAAGCATCCAGTAGATGCCCGCCAGGAGCCCGCCGACGGAACACACCACCAGAATGAATATCAGAAGGCCACCCACCCCATGAATGACCTCATTGGCCATATTGACGGCCTTGGCCTCCTCCTTGGCCTTTTCATAAGCCTCATCGACCTCTTCCACGTCCTCCTCTGGTGCCTTCTGCTTGCCATATAGGATAGCTGGATCGTCCGGCGCGGGCTTCGCATCGCCCTGGAAACCGGCCAGGCGCCAGTTCGGCGGTGTATCTGTCCGGTGGATGTCTGATGTGCCCAAAACGTTGCCACCCCCATCAATTGCTTCCACTGATACCCAGTCTAGGTAGCCTTCGGCGATATACATGGTCTCGAAGTCGAACTTGGTGGTGTTGCCAATCAGCACCGGAAGACCGTGCCGGTCAACGCGTGCATAGAAGTTCCAGGATGCAACATCCGTTGCACCGTTCCAACTGACATGGAAGATGGTTGCCATATCCGTCTCGTCCGTTCCGTAGACCGATGCCACAACATCCGGCGGTTGGCTAGGCCGACCCACGAAGGGGAATTTGTACGACCGGTAAGAAGAGAAGCGCGTGGACGCGAAATTAGCCTGCATCAGTACCTTGCCGTCAGGACTATGCTCGCTCTGGTATCCTCGCTCGCTCCAACCAACAAAGACGTTACCGTTGGGCAGCCTTTGGACACTGCCACGCAGCCTGGTCAGGTCGCCGTCCGGCCGGTCGTACCGATCAAGTAGGCGGGCCGTCATGGTTGTTGTGTCGACCTGGACAAACATCGCAGCTGAGACTGTCTCCTCGTTCTCCGCCTCATCAGACGCATTGTTCAGAAAAGAGAGAGTCGTGTGCGTGGCATTAGAATCCACAAACCGTGCGTGATGTTGCTTGGAAAAGGTGAAATCCTGGACAAAATCGGAATACTTTCCGCCCAGTCGCCAAATAATGCGTCCGTCTTCGCCGGATATTAAGTAGATCGTGCTTGTGAATCGGGCCGACAGCAGATAATCACCTGCCGCATTTTTGTCTGCCGCGTTCACATGCACATAATCCCAGCCAGGTTCATTGGACGCCGGCCAGTCGGCGTTTACTTTGACAGACTCATGAATGGGAATGTATCCCAGTGAATTCCACTCGAACAAGACCTCGCCTGTCGCGATGTCCAGCTCGACGAGCCCCCCTGTGACTATCCAACCGTACTCGTTTGGCCGGCCAAGGTCTCCTAAATCCACGTATTCATTCCGGTAGGCGCAAGCTAGTGCTGTCTTTCCGCCGTCGAGGACATTGAACTCATGCATGTTGAAAGTCCCAAGATCATTAGTCACTGCAACTACATTCTCCGGCTCGTAATGCTGGTCGAGGATGTAACCATATCCTTTGTCCGATGCACCGGAGTTGTAGCCATGTTGAAGAATGAATGAAAGGTGAGATTCGTTGTCGATGTTGTTCACGGCCTTGAAATCAAATATGTTGCGGTTGTCGAACATGCAAGATCCGGCCCAGATGAGAACCTAATGATCCACACTTGATAAGCTTGATGCTCCATCGTTTCGAGGCAATTTTGAACGAGCATTCCGCTTTCTCGTAGCAGGTACCAAAGAAATGACACGGCAGAGGGACAGAGTCAAGGGACGATGAAAAAAAAAAAGGGAAGAAAAGAAGCGTGAAGATTAGCACTTACACCATCTGCGTCATAAATGTAGGGTCCAACTTGGCAAGGTTTCCATTGCTTCGTGGGTGCTTCTGGGTCAATCACGCCATATGGCGCAACGAACCAATACCCCGGACTGACAGCCGGGCGATCGTAGTAGGCAATATCGAATTTCAGGGCTCTGATCTCCGGCAGCTGATTGATTGTTAGTTAGTTAATTAGAGACAGACGATGGCCGATGTTAGCACTCTTGACCAATACTTACTGTGACAAAGGACATCAGATCACTATCAGTTTCGGCTTTCGCGACGACACCTTGGAGAGCAAGCAATGACAAGAACCAGAGGGATAACATGTTGAAGGAGTGACTGGGAGAGGAATGATCCCCTCCAAAGGCGACATACAACCAACTGAATGGGTAATAAGCAACGAATAATGAACTCAAGAATGAAAGGCCAAGAAGCGAGAGAGAAAGAGAGGAAGAAGAAAAGAGAGAAACACGCGGCAGACGAAGGGGAAACGATCAAATCAACCAGCACGGTCGTCACCCGACCCCAGAGCCAAATTCACATCAGTCGAGGGTGATCATCGGAGACGCTGCCGAGCGGGGAGGGTAAGGAAAAAGAAACAGTTCCATGTTTGGAGTGGGAATAATGAGGGCCTATTCATCTACTCGTACTGGAGTACGTACTCGCCCCCGTACGGAGTACGGCAACAGAAGTAGGAGTAGCGGTAGCGGCAGCGGCAGCAGTGGTGGTGGTGCAGTGTGTCTGTCAGCAGGAGAGTGTAAAAACCACTCTAGAAAGGGAAACGGGATAGGGTCGGGGACAAGGCTTCATTGCAATAGGCTAGAAGTCCGCAAAATCTGAAGGACACTCCATCAAGCTTGGCCGAGAAAGGTCAAAGACAACGTAATCATCGATGGCTGCGATGGACGCTGACGATCAGGCGAGGCGGACACTCTTGGCGGCGTTTCGGAAAGTGGAGCTGAGGCACCACACAATCCAGCCAGATTCGTGGACTCGATGGAAAGAAACGGACTCAAGTACAGTACCAGTACTCAGAGAAGTATAAGATTGTACGTATGAGGAGTACCTCATACTACTCGGTACTATGGAGGTGCAGATAGAATCGGCTTACACCACTTGATATAGTTATGTGGTTCAGTCTTGTCACCCGTTTGAAGATAGATAAGTAGATTTCTGCTTTGCTGAGATTGGACATCGGACATCGGACATCGGTTACATCTCCCTGTAACTACCCGTGATTCGGCACTGAGTGACCCCAAACGTGGTATTCGTCGTGGCTGTCCATGGGTGACGTTTCAAAGGTCTTGGCACAATAATGGTTAAATTGCCAAATAATCGGATTCCACTCTCAGTCGGTTGTGAGGTTGTGGTTCTCGCTTGATTTGGGCAAGCAGATGAATGACACCTGAGTTCATCTAATTGACCATTGACGGCTGACATATGCCTCAAACTTCACGGAACCGAAGAAGAGACACTGATCCGCCGAGATCGGAGATGGTTCGAGTGCCTCACTCAGTAGTCACGAACCGGCTGTTTCCACATTAGTTATGGCCAATCATCAAAGCAAATATTAGCTGTCTGGTGCAACGCATATATATCCATGTACGTGCATACAATGTATATCCACAGAGAGATGAAGGCCGGAGTTTAGACAAACATAACAACATGGGCTGGACCCTTGGTTCATGGTCTCATTCCTAGTACGCATCCTTTTTCTGTCCCACTTGCCCCTTGGCGCACCGTCTGACATTACGCAGAATTGGCACAGATTGCGCTAAGATCAAAAGGTACAGTAGAAGCCTTATCAACTCTTCCACAAATTGCTATCAATCTTTTAGATCTTCCATGCTCAAAGGACATATAACTAATGGTCATTGAGAGGCCCGCTAGCTGTGTCGCACAACCCACCCTTCACAAAGCATAGTCCGCAACGTCAGGCTCCTGAAATATTTTCGGCTTGTACTTGAGAACTTCGGCCACGGCTATCAACAGCAATCCCTCCGTGCTCTTCACATCCTCCATGCCTAGCTGAGGTGGGAGCCATTGCCCACACACATCCGTGAGATTGAGGCGGGCTGGATCTCCCGGACCATCATGCTGAAGCGCATCTACGATAAGCGCCCATGCCAAAGAACTGTAGAGAACCCCTTCATGGGTATAAAGGCCACCGCCGGGCCGATTCCGGCAGATAGTCTGCAAGTGGTTGTTGGACACATCTGCTACCGGGGAACCTTGTAGAATCCCGGAAGCTTGCTTTCCACTCATCGGTTGCACGATCTGATCATATGAGGAATAGACAGTCGTCGTGGGCACATAGGCCGAATCGCCTCCGACGCGTCTCAACGCTCGAACAAAGCCTGCATGCCACGCTTGTTGCCAGATGGCAGGAGTACAGACAATGTTCGAGAGGATAGGGCAAACAAGTGTTGTCTCCACAGTCCCATGGAAGTCGGGACTGATCGCAATCAGATCCGTGACTACGGCGCGCGTGGACGGCCAATACTTGAATGCCCATTGGGTGTTGAGACCTCCTTGAGACCATACTATAACTGTCAGATTATCTTCCGAGAGGGTGGAGAGATAGTTGATTGCGTATGCAATATATTCCGAATTGACTTGGACGTCCCCTAGAGACGCGGAAGGGACATTAACCCAGGCCATGCTTACTTCAGGTATCGCCTTTCGTAGCTTTCCAAGGTTGGACTGGAACATTGAGCCGGCAGGAATGGCTGTGCCAGGAACGAGAAGAACGAGCTTGCGTTCACCTTTTCTCCTGGTCAGATCGTCTTGTATAAAGATAGCAGCCCGGAGAGTCTCCTCCGCGACACTATAGGACACATCCTGAGCAGCTTTCTTTGGATATAGCGGTTGATGTGCTAGCACTGGATTTCTGTTGTGAAGCAAATTTAGTCGAGAGTTCTGATACTGATTGAGTCCAATGAGTATGTCCTGTGACAAAAGTTCTGAAGTGACAATCTTGAGAGCGAGATCGACAA